TAAACCCCCGAAGCTCTAAACCCTAAACCCTAATAAATCCTAAACCTTAGACTCTCGGCCCTAGATCTGCCCACAAACAGGAACCCTAAACCCTACAAGCCCTAATCCCCAACATCCCTAATCCCTATACGCTAAACCCTACACCCTAAACCCTACAAGCCCTAACCCCAACATCCCTAAACCCTATACGCTAAACCCTATACCCTAAACCCTAAAAGCCCTAGCCCCTAACCCCTAAAAGAAAAGGTCTCATCCAGCGGTTGGCTCCGGGCGTCCGATTGCAACCCGAACCCTGGTTTCCTCGAAGGACCATCGCTCAGCTCAGGGTATAGGGTTCAGGGGTTTAGGGTTTTTAGGACTCCTTCAGGTGTCTACAAATTTAAATTTAGGGTTTAGGGATTTAGGATTCGGGTTTAGGGGTTAGGGTTTAGGGTCTAGTATGGTTCAAAGGCCTGTGAATCCCTGGCCGCTCCGAGGACAGATCCTCTAAAGAGAGGCCTTACCCGAGGGCCAGTGCGACAGAGACCTGACCCCTGAATCCTAAACCCTAACCCCTACTTCCTGAGCCCTAAACCCTAAATCCTAAGTCCTAAATCCTACATCTTACGCACTACACCCAAAGGCTCTAAGACACCTGAGAATGATGTCGTGAACTCATCTGGGTAGCTCTCTAAGTTAGGATCCCGTTTCGGGCCCCCAATATAGTACGGCACCCTTATACAAAAGGGTCCTATAACCCTAAACCTTAAACCCTAAACCCTAAATCCCTAAGTCCCTAAACCCTAAATCCCTAAACCCCAAAACCCTAAACCCCTAAACCCTAAACCCTAAAAGAGACCGTAATTTAGAGAATTACCGTTGTCCGAAGGCCGAGGAGCTTATGGCAAACCTGAAGAAGCCGCCTGGTCGTAGGTTCTGCTGGGATTTTGGGTTTTAGGTTTGCGGGGGGTCTGCGGTTTAGGCTTAGGGCCTTTAGGGTTTAGGGTCGAGGGTCTAGAGGTTTAGAGTTTAGGGGTTCCCTAAACCCTAGGCCCCTAAACCCCTAAACCGTACATGGGTTAGGTTCCCAAAAAGTGCTGTGAGGGTCTGTGTCTATGGGTTTCGAAGGTCTCGTTCTCGGGGATCTCGGTTTTTGGGACTTTGGGGTTCAGGGGTTTAGGGCCTAGGGTTTGGGGTTCAGGGTTTAGGTTCAGGGTTCAGGGTTTAGGGTTTAGGGTTCAGGGTTCAGACTTTAGGGTGCAGGGTTCAGAGTTTAGGGTTTAGGGTTTGGGGTTCAGGGTTTGGGGTTCAGGGTGTGCTGCTGAAAAGCCCACAGGCGTTCTGGAGGTTCCAGGACAGCCGCGCAGTGTGGAGCCTCAATCCCTGAACCCTGAGCTCTAAAATCCTAAACCCTGAACCCTACACCCTAAATCCCTAATCTCCAATCCCCGACTCCTGAGCTCTAAAACCCTAAACCCCTGGGGGTTTCAAGCTCGAATACTGAGGCTGCTCATGGGCGGCTCGGTGTCGTCGCTGGTGTCTTCCTTTGAGCAGCGTCTGGAGGGCAAGCGGGGATGATCGCCAATGTGGCCCCCATGTGGTGACGGGTCCGTGTCTGGGTTGCGGACTGCTGTAGCACATCACATGTTTCAACTTCGTGCAAGAACTGTGCGACACTTCGGCAGGTTCTGCAACCGTAAACCTGAATCCTAAGCCCTGGACCCATTCTTCATCCTACACGGCTATGCCTGTAGTAGGTCTGGGGCTGTCCGCCGCCTCGAAAACAGGTGGAATGAAGGTGGGTGGCTACACCCCGGAAGCCTGAACCCAAACCCCAAACCCTTCGCCTTCGGATGGATGACCTTTGACATCAGACTCTTCTTTGGAATCCCCTCAGTTTATATGGAAGCCTGGGGAATTGCTAATACTCTTCCTTTGGGTTCCTTATCATGACAATTATTATATGAGTGTGCTGAGGGGGTTTGGGGTCACTTTAAGGCAGCCCTGTTCCAATTACTGAAAGCCCTAAAGCCTGAATGGCGCAACATACTCAAGCTGTACCCTAAACCCTAAACCCTAAACCCTAAACCTGTATAGCCTGAATGCCCAGCTGACTCAGCACAATCCCACAACGAGTTTGCCTGAACTGCAATGATTAGATCCCGACAGGCTTTTAAAGAGGCAAAGCCCTAGTTAAAAGCCAAAGCCCGAAGCCTTTATATTGAAGCTTGGGTAAGCAGTGCATCCCTCTCTCTACTTTTCCCGACTCTTCGTTAGGGTTCCTCATTCTGTTCATAGCATGATCTGCCCGAAAAGCTTCTTTCACAGTTAAACCTTAAACCTTAAATCCTAAACCCTAGACCCTAAACTCTGAACCCTGAACCCTAAACCCGAAGCCCTAAACTCCTAAACCCTACGCCCCTAAATCCTAAATCCTAGACCCTACGCCCCTAAACCCCCTAAATCCTAAACCCTGAACCCTGCGCCGTTTTCTGACGGACACTGCGGGTGCCACCAGCAGCCGCCGGCTTCCAGGTGGCGTAGGCCTTTCTGGGTTTTAAGATTTGGGGTTTAGGGTTTAGGGGTTGAGGGTTTGGGTTTGGGGTTTGGCGGTTTAGGGTTTAGGGTTTAGGGGGTGTGTTTGGAGTGGGCCGTCGGGCCGTCCGAAGACGCTCCTGATGTGCTCCCTCATGTTGTTCGCCTTTTGCGCTGCCGGTCGTTTGCCCGGAGATGTCCCTGTCGTAATATAGGGGCCTTAATAACTACCGGTTCCTTATTATCGTTATGATATAATGGGCCCCAAAACCCTATTCAATTATTGAGGCCTCTAAACCCTAAACCCTTATAGTAGCCCTTATAGAACCCTGTAAATGAGCCTCAAAAAGCCTTATTCTAATTATTAAGGCGCCTATAAATTATTAGCTGCGGGACACGACGACAAGTGAACTGGACGAGTTGATGTTCGTAGGCTCAGCCATCTTAAAAACAGCCGGGAACAGGGTTTAGGGTTTAGGGCGGCATCCATGTATTAAGATGAGTAGGTAGACCCCCGTGCAGTACTAAAAGGGTGATACTGTGGTACTACAATGCCACCCACAATCCCTGTTCTAGTTATCCAAGCCCCTACCTCATGTAAAGGGCTCCGGGGTGCTGAAGGTGATAACGGAAGCTTTCCGGACAGTCTCAAAGTAGCTTGAAAGGTAAACCTGTAATTCACAAAATATAATCCCTAATGGCAAACATTCAGAGAAAGTCGAGGGCAGCTGGGGTGGCCCTAGGTATAATACTCTTCCAGGTTCACTTGCAGCACCGGCTGGCTCACAAGCTAGGCATGCAAAGGCATATTGGTGTCGCACTTGCGAAGCCATGTTGATGCGACCTCACACTGCGAAAAGGGAGGAAGCACGAGACTGCCTGCCTTCAGTGTCAAACGACCCTTAACATTTGGCAGGTCTTGGGCTCTTCATCTTGCAATACACCCCTCCAAGGAACAAGTTACCCCTAGCAATAGCACGGCGTCTGCATCTATAGTCTCTAGCTAGATTCCCTACATGGTATTAGAGTTACTTAGGCTATTAGGGTTCACTCGGTCCTCAAGGTGGCTTTCCGACATATAGGAATTCAGCATCTGGAGGATCTTAATATAGGAGCCTGATTAAGCAACCTTGCATCTTTATTAAGGTTCTGTTTATGGATCCCTCTTTTGGGATTAGAGGACCAAGATTTCTTAATCAGGTTCCTACATGACGCGTGTCTAGGGTGTGGGTCCGACTTCTTTTGCTGAGGACCGAATTTGTTGATGTTTTGGCTTGCGGGAGCAGAGATAGTTGCTGAAGTTTGTGTTTGCCACTTCGTGGTAATGAAGCTGTAGGTGTCGAGTCCTTTGCAGTTTGTAGATACGAGGAACTGGGTTCTCGAGTACCATACTTGAATGCGTTTGTTTTGTGGGGACTTGCTCCTTAAAGGAACCGCTATAAAATGGAGGTCTGTGCTTTTTTTCTCCCTGGTTACTTCAAAGTCCAGGGATGCCAAAAGGCGCCCCGACGCCCTCCCCTCTCCCCTGAGGACCAAACGGCTCTTAAAGGTAGAGGCACTCTACCCGTGTCTATGAACCCCTGGAAGGTATGCGAGTCTTAAACCCTTTTTGGGGTTCATTTCGTCCTTATGCTCTGCCAGAGAATGCAAGTCTGCACTTGCACTCATTTTGGCTCACAGATCACGGTTTTTCTGCGCAGCTTTGTTTGTCCCTCGCTTCATGGGCACCGGTGCAAGTGCGACCATCGCCGAAACGGCAAAAAGCGTCTCCGATGATGATTTGAAGGCCGCCTTCAAAGATGTTTCGGCCGCCGACAGGATGAGAATAGCAGCGGCTGCAGTTGACGGGATTGACCAGTATGGAGCTGTTGCCGATGGCGGTGGAGTAAAGAGCCCCGGACTACCAGAAGCACCGGCAGATTGGATCAAGGAATGTCTCGATTGCCACAACAAGTTCAGGGCGAACCACGGTGTGCCAGCCCTGGAGTGGAGTCACGAGTGCTATGAGTTTGCGTTGCTGCAGGCAGAGGCATGCCAGGCCAATGGAAAGATTTCTCATGGGAACCAGCAAGGCCCATCTGGTTTCCATGGACAGAAAAACCTTAAAACCCTAAACCCTCAACCCTAAACCCTAAAACCCTAAACCAAGGCCCATCTGGTTTCCATGGACAGAACCCTAAACCCTAATCCTTAAACCCTAAACCCAGCAAGGCCCAT